GGGAAGGGAAGGGAAGGGAAGGGAAGGGAAGGGAAGGGAAGGGAAAGGGAAAATGAAAAAGGAAAAGGAAAGGGAAAAGGAAAAAGGAAAGGGAAAGGGAAAAGGAAAGGGAAAGGGAATGGGAAAAGGAAAGGGAAAAGGAAAAGGAAAAGGAAAAGGAAAAGGAAAAGGAAAAGGAAAAGGAAAAGGAAAAGGAAAAGGAAAAGGAAAAGGAAAGGGAAAAGGAAAAGGAAAAGGAAAAGGAAAAGGAAAGGGAAAAGGAAAAGGAAAAGGAAAAGGAAAAGGAAAGGGAAAGGGAAAAGGAAAAGGAAAAGGAAAAGGAAAAGGAAAAGGAAAAGGAAAAGGAAAAGGAAAAGGAAAAGGTGGGACAGGCAGACAAAAGTAGGACAGAAAAACAGAGTCTGGCATAAAAGCCTGGATCTACCCACTGTTGGGCCCCGGTCCTCCCAAAGCACCGCCTGAGCAGACATCAAGCTGGGCTGTTCCTAACGCGGCAATACCCTGGGCCTCAGGCCAGCACCTCCCCAAAACCCGACAGAGCATCTCCGTCCTGCCAGCCTCAGCATGCTTGGGGGCCCCTTCTCCTGCCCAGGGACCGAGGGGCTGCGCTCGCGCCACGGCGCTTTGGCGCGCGCGGCGCCGCACGGACGTGACCGTGAAATGGGCAGCAAACAACGGCCGCCTCTGCTCTGCGCTTGGGAAGCCCTGAAAAAACCAGCTGAGGAGCTTGTTTTGCAGTGGTTGAAAGGGACTGACTTTAACACGCCTTGAAACACAGAGGCAGGCTGAACGCTTGCGCCTTGTCTGTGAGGGAAACGCAATGACCCCTGTAATCCCGGTCACAGAGATTGATGCTTATACTGGGCAGAACTGGAGGAGCCAACACAGCAACATGTCGCTAGCACAGAACGAGGGGGGAGAGGCACAACCAAGGCCAGCCAGCATGGAAACGCGTCACCAGGGGAGTCTGGAGTCACTTTTTAGATCACAATATTTAATGACAAAGGTAACTTTTTGGAAGTTGAAATTTGGAAAGGAAAAAAGGTGACAAAATTTTTAGACTTCTGTGAAGATTTTAACCAACTGGCAAATACCATTAAAATAATATTGTTTAAAATCCTCATCATTATTAATATTTTGAGTAAAAACTAGCCAGGTAAAGAGTCATAAAACATAACCATAGATGACAACAAGCTGTAACCATAAATGGCAGAGCCACATCCAAAGAAGTACTTGCATACGGGTCCAAACAGTCTGTGTTTGATCCATGCTATTTAATCACTGTCTTACCTGATGAGCTGAAGGAAAACACACAGTGAGAAAACTTGCAGAAAACACAGAAACTGCAGGGAGTAAATCATCAGCCTGCTGCAGACCACCTGGCAAACTGGGCTCTCGAGGACAGCACGGGTTCCCACGCAAGCCACGCAAGGCCCTGCACCGGGGACACGGTGCCAGCGCCTGTCATCCTCGTCACCAGACAGACCCCGAGCTCCCTGTCATGAGGAAGTGGCTGAGCCTGGAAAGGCAGCAGCAAAGGAGCACGGGGATGGACGGGGCGGGTGACACGACCGCCAGGTGTGACAGCATCATGGTAGGGCTGGAAGGGCATCAGGGGCCACACAATCCCGTGCCACCTCACTCCAACCTTTTGATAGAAATTGTCGGTGACCAAGGTCCCATGTCCCCCGGCAAGATCGGCACTAACATTTTCCTGCAGCTCCCTCAATGAAGCAGCAGCTCACGGCTTGTCCTGTCACACCAACACCCCATGTCCTTGCAGCAGCCTCCATGTCTGACGACTGCTGCCTTGTCTCCCTGCAGCCTTCCCATCCTCTCTCGTGGTGCAGAACATTGCACGGACAGCGACAGCCTGGCCTCCTCCGGACGGCCTCCAGTCGCTCCAGAGCCTGAATTGCAGTGTCCAAGACCGGACTGAGGAGCCCACCCGGGTCCTGACCCTGTCTAGCAGCAGGAGGGCTGCAGGTGCCAGGAAAGCAGTACTCCAAAGCAGCACTCCTGTGCACACTGTGCAGCACTTACATTTGTGAAACATCGCATTCCAACCCAGTGCAGACAAAATCTTTTCCTTTAGCACCAGGCCACACATTTCCCAAGGGCCTACGGAAATGATTATTCCTCCTCACATACCAAGCCTCTGATCTGTCCTTTTAGAATCATGCCCTGCATTCTACAGCTTATCGTGAGCATTTTGAATTTCAGACCTGGTTTTGACCCTGTTTGTAGCCTTTCCAGCTTGGTTTCTCCTACACACTAGCTAAGCATGCAATCTGTTCTATTACCAGCCACAGGGATGGATGGAGATGCACTGCACAACATCAGACCAAAGAGACAGTGGCATCCCCTTTCAGTTCACCATTTGCAGGCATCCACTGAACAATCTGAGCTCAGCTTTTCACCCATTCGTGCACCATCTAACCAAGGCTACTCTACAGAGCAACTCCAGAGCTATACTCCATAACAGTATCCAACACAAGCCTGCAAGGGGACCATCAAAAAAGTCTTCCTCTACCTCGCTATCCCCACCTCATGTCCAAGGGATGGGGGACCCCAAGGGACCTCATGTCCCCTGGATCCCTTGCTCCCCCAATACTCCAAGCCTCTCTGTCCTGCCCCACATCTCTATTTTGGGTTGGTTTTGGTTGGTTTCTTCGCAGAGAAACAGCCACAACTGATTCAGTAGCACGTGGTGCTGCTGAGAAGCTACCCTGCGACGGTGATCGGGCTGCAGACAGCTGAGGGGTGCACAATGCCAATGATTTATGAGACTAATAGGACATACTAAGCCGAATCCAGGTACCACACTGAAAAATGAAGGGCACTCAAGACCTGGAAACATGGCTTTTACTGTGAAGCCTGAAGAGAACCTTTAAATTAAAGACATAAACCAGAGGAGACAAAAAAAAAAACCAAACAAACAAGAAAGCAGGGCACAAACAGTGCTCAAAATACCTGCAGTTAATTTAATATTACAGCAACTAATCTAGATAAATGATGGATTCTCTGTATTTAGAAGTGTACATTTGCCTTACAAGCAAATCTGTCATGGACCAAGCTCAAGTTACAAGCTTGGTTCAAAGTCATGGGTGAAAATCTCTGGCTTGCGCTATGCAGGGTGACTAAATTTGTGGTCAGAAGGATCATGTTGACTTTGAAATTGGTAAAGACTGATCTGCCACTACAAACTACAGACCCCAAACTGTAGCTGCCTCTGTTCTCAATCTGTCTTCACCTCAACGCAACTTGGAGCTGCAAGAGCAGCCGCTCCTCAACCCTCTCGCTCTGCTGCATCCACCCTCCTGCACCCAAAGCGTGTTGTCTGCACAGGAGTCCAGCTGCAGTCCACTCAGCACTGCGGGCTGGAACTTTGCAAACTGCAACACAAGCAAAACCAGACCTGGAAGCAGTCAAGCACCAGCGGCTCCTGCTCCAGCGCTGAAGGCAGGAGAGCCCAAAGCTTTCCCAAGAAACTGGGAACAACACACGATCTAAATACACACACAATAAAATCAGGCTGTGCAATGCCAAACATTTGCAAGAAAGAGACGAATCCAAGAACAAGTCAGACTTGTTCTTCCCTGCTGCATTAGGGATGAAGAGGCTGCAGACGGTGCTGGGAGGATTCCAGGTTTAGTGGTGCTGCGGTGCTCACTGCGCCAAGGTTACTTGCTGTGGCCCAACATCTTTCTGCAGGTGAAATGTGGAGGTTTGGGCCAGCAGTATTCACCAAATTCTTTTTCTTGTCTTCTGAGCAGTGGAGCAAAACTGCCAGAACAACTCGGAGTGCGAAATGGCAAGGAGGACGAGCCCACGCCCAATGCAGGGACGCGGTTGCACCCCCCCCAACATGTCCATGCCACCAGCTCAGCGCACGCGCCACCCGCACGCCTCCGCCGCCGGGCACCCAGGGCACAGCTCCTCGTCACCTCCCCTGCACCCTCCGCTCCTCCCGGGACACGTGCGTCCCTGGCCTTCTCCCCACGGGACGCACGTGCAGGAGGGGAGGCAGCCGAGCCCGGGCCCCTCCGCTCCCGCCGCGCTCCTCTCCCGGCCGGCCGCCGCGCGGCTGCGGCTCGTGGTGCCGCGCGGTGAGAGCAGCAGCAGCAGCAATATGCAGCGTAATGAAGCAGGGAGCGGCGACGGCCCCCAAAGGACTCGTTTACTCCACAAATCTCCCTTCCACTCACTTTTTGCTAAGAATTTTAACACCAAACTTAATTGTAAAGTCGCATATTGATTGGAAAATGCAAATGGCAATTTAAATGTAATCTAAGCTCCCAGCATGATCCCAGCTCCCAAGGAGGAGGAGTCACCCGCTTTGGGCCCCACTGGAGTGAATGGCCCAAACTGAGCCGGGCTGGGACCCGTGGTCCCGAGCTGCCTGCGCAGTGTCTTCCCAGGAAGGATTTGGTGCCTGTGCAATTAGGAGTTGATTCCTTGTGAATAGCTGGGAAAGCCGAGCCTCCCGGCCCCATTAACCCAGTTCCCAGAGACAAGTGTCCACCCCGGCGGGCAAGACCATCCGTGTCCAGCAGCACCGAAGAGACATCCCAGTGAGCTGATGGGAGCCCGGGGCACGGAGCGGCCGCGAGCAGGGGCCCGGCTGCCTCTGCAGGAGGATGCTCTGCTGCCCACCCGGCACGGGCTGCATGATGGCCGCGCTCCTGGCATTTCCATTGCTTTAGATGTGAGTGGACACAAAGGCGGGTCGCCCAGAGGAGATGTCCTCAATTGTCCTACGGAAGGTGGAGATAAGGAGCCATCCAGCCACATCTCTATGGCAACACACCTCCTCTTAGAGGCAACCTACGTATGTCAGTACCGTACCTCCCTTCCTGGAAAAGCAAAGTCTCCTCCAGCATCTCCTTTCTGCAGGCCTGGCCCAGCCTTGCACCAGCTCTGCCAAGCTCAGACCAAGTCTCTGCAGAAGCTGAGGCGCCCAGGCCAAACCTGGCTGCTCCACATCACAGCACCTCAGCCCTTGTCCCCTGCAGCCCTGGGGACGCCGAGCGCTGCTCACAGCCGCAGGCACTCGGAGACTGCAGGGACCCTGCGACTGTCCAGCACCACCAACCCACTCGGATTCCCTGCAGGTAAGTTCGGGGTGCATCAGCCTGGTTCTGCCAAGGGCTCCCAAGCCGCTGGAGCACCCCAACCATGCAGGGCCTGTTGTCATCATCCCTGCAGGGCACGCACAGCAATGGGAAGCAGCCTAAAACCGGCCATGCACCCAGGCAGGCTGCTGTCACTGCTGCCCGCGAAGGTTCTCAGCTCCTGGGGGCCAGGAAGGACCCCACAACATTCAAGAGTAAATCCAGCTGGAGGCCTTGCTCCTTTGCTGCCCTTCGTGAGGTGGCAGGCACCAGACCGGGACAATCCTACAGAAAGGGCAGGTCCAAGTGAGAGAACAGAGATGTCGTCTCCCCTCCGGACTTTGCAGTATGGAAGCACGGCCTCAGAGAGCCCCTGCTCCTGCTCACATCCATGGCATCAAGTCCTCCCTCTCCTGGAGGGATGTCCTGGCAAAGGGTGCAGAATTTCTGAGAATTTCTGCTCTCCAATGTTACTCTGCATCTGCTGCACTACCTGTGCACTCTAAGCACACACCCCGTGACCTCAGTGAGGATCTTGGCCTCTTTTTCCTTTAGGAAAAAGCTCATTTTCCTAGGATGCTGTAGAACAACTATTTAATTCAAGCAGTGGGAGAGCAGCAATATCAGAGTGCCCCGGGATCCCCGGAGACAGGTCACAGCGGTGCTCTGTGGTCTTAATGGTGCCCCAGGGCCATCAGCTCCAGCACGGAGCAACGCGGAGCCGGGAGGGAGACCCATTTGCAGGGGCGAGCGCCCACCTTCCCGGCAACCTGCCAGTTCCCGCTGCTCCCCCGCATGGTGCCAGCTGCCCCCAAGCCCTGGGGCACAGGGCTCGGCCTGGCTCCACACGGGAGGCTGGAACCGGCAGGATCCCCCCACGCGGCTCCCGCCCTCTGCTCCTCCCCGCGCTGCTGCCCCTCGCCCTTCAGCGCTGCCCTCGCGCTGCCACCCGGCCCTGGGCGCCCACAGAGCACCAAGAGGCCCTGCAGAGGTGGCACCTGCCCCGTGCCCCTGCACACCCCTGGCCCGTGGGGACGTGGGGGACCCAGCAGCTCGCGGCTGGGCAGGGAACAGTGCTGGGGCCGCAGGAGGAGCAAGGGAACGGGAGCAGGGCCGGAGTCCTCCTGGCCGGCGCAGGGCGCAGCTCAACGGGACTGCAGCGCTGCAGAGCGCCGGGGAGACACTGCCTGCCCGGCCGCGCGCAGCACCAGGGCGGCCGGCGCGGCGGCCTCGTGCGCTGCCATCATGCAGCTCCCCTGGGCGGCACCCGGAGCGCACGCATGTCCCCGGAGCCCAGGATGGAGCAGGAACCTCCTCTGCCGGTCAAGGGCTGCCCCACGTGGCGACAGCTCTAGGCATGGCCCTTTGCCCAGCTTGGGGAGACGGTCCCACCTCCCGCAGAGCAGCTCAGCCAGCAGCCCTGGGGGATGGAGCACACGGAGCAGAGCATGGAGCAGGGTGTGGAGCAGTGCATGGAGCAGAGTATGGAGCAGTGCGTGGAGCAGTGCGTGGAGCAGTGCACGGAGCAGTGCATGGAGCAGCATGTGGAGAAGTGCATAGAGCAGCACATAGAGCAGCACACGGAACAGTGCCCGGAGCAGCACGCGGAGCAACACACAGAGCAGCGCATGCAGCGCACACAGAGCTGTGCACAGAGCAGCGCACAGAGCAGCGGTGGAGGCGGAGGGCACGGAGCGGGGCTCGGATGCCCTCTGCTGGAGCACGATCCGCCCGCGGCGCCGCTCCGCAGCCTCGCTCCGTGGCACCGCTCCGCTCTATGGCACCGGCCTCGCTCCGCGGCACCGGCCCTACTTGCCCCTACTCTGCAGCACGCGGCCAGCGTGCGCCCCTGGGTGACACGAGGGCAGCCGGCACGCGGTGCCCTCGCCATGCGCTCCCCGCGGCAACGTCGCATGGAGACGCATGAAGGACCTGGGATGGAGGCGGACAGGGGGACACGCAGGAGTGTGGCCAGCACCGTGGGGCTCTTGCTCCCACACCTGAGTGACACAAAGACGTCCCCTCCCCACATGGCACCGGGTCATGCAAAGACATCTCCCTCCGGGGACACGGTGCCTGCACCACACAAAGATGCTGCCCTGAACGGCGCATGGGGACACGCAAAGGGACCATCCCCCCTGCCCCCAGTGTCTGGGGACACAGAGCCCCCCGCCACCCCACATGGTGACTGAGGACACACAACAACACCCACCCTGGCCCTGCACAGCAGATGGGGACATGCACCCCCCCTGCCCCACATGGTGCCTGGGGACACACAGAACTCGTGCCCCACACGGTGACTGGGGACACACAACACCCCCGCACAGTGCATGGGGACACACAAATCCCCTGCCCCGCATGGCACCTGGGGACACACAAACACGCTGCTCTGCACAGTGACTTGTGGCACACAAACCCCCTGCCAGCACAGCACACGGGGACACACAACCCCTCATCCCGCATGGATCCTGGGGACACACAACCCACCCTGCTCGGCACACAGGGACACACAACCCACCCACCCTGCTCAGCACACAGGGACACACAACCCCCTGCCCGCTCAATGCATGGTGACACAAAACCCCCTGTCCCGCACAACACGAGTCACGGCGCCCGCCCGCCCGCCCGGCAGGGAGCAGCTCCAACCTGCTTCATGGGAATGGCCCTCCCACTGCCGATGCTGTCCGCCTTGCACTCCGGCGCCTTCTTGTCGCGCTCCGGGTCTGCGCCCTTTCGAGACTGGAAGAGAAGAGACAGGGG